CAGCTCTCTGACAACAGCCCCCACAGCATGATTTTCTCTCTTCTTTGTTCAAGGGATCAGCTGGGCTGAATGGATTAGCTTTGTTCAAGGGATCAGCTGGACTGAATGGATTAGGATTGCTTTCCTTCTGTAGAAAACAACACCAAAAATCCAACTCAAAGGGCTTACTCTAATTAAAGAATTTAATGACTCACACGATAGAAAGTTCTAGGCTGACTGGATGCAGGTACTCAGAGGGCACTAACAGAAGTCCCTCTCCCTCTATCAGGACTCTCCTTCACTGCTTCGGTCCTCCTGGGACCAGCTCCTCTCCTTCACCCACAGCCTTGTTTTGTGAGAGTGCCAACAAGCCTTTGGCTGGGCTCTGGTCAAGCCCTGCTTTAGCCACTTTGATTTCTAACTCATATGTGTTTCAGATGGAAGGAATGTGCCCAACAGCCAGGCTTGGGACCTATGCCTGGTCATAGAACTAGGTCCGAGAATAATACACCCCAAGTATAGAACAGAAACAGCAACTCTTACATGTGTTGTCCTGTTTGGGAGATCAGTTCTCAGTAGGAACTCAGTACCTTCCTCAATTTTCAATTCAGTCATCTCACTATCCTTATTTTATATATGGAAAACGGACACATATGCCCCTCACAGCTAATACAGTCTCCAACTTGTAATAGTTTGACCTTCCATCAGTGTAAAAATGATGTGTATTTAATAGAAACCATACTTTGGGCTTGGCGCTTTTCCCAGGCTGGTGATCTATGCAGCACGAACCTCCCTTGGGATGCTGAGCAGGGCAGCAAGCTGCAGCCTCCAGTCAGCTGCATGATCACAAGGAGAAGCAATGGACTGTCTGCAGCATTCTGTGTTGCTAAGCTATATGATGTTTGTTGGGTTCAGTGTGTCCTAAGCATTTTCAACTCCCAACAATTTTGACTGACACTGGGCTTATCTGAATGTAAACACGTTGTAAGTAGAGGGGCATTTGCAAATTGTAGACTGGGAGCTGACTCAGAACTTGGATCCCAGATTGACCATTAGCAGGAAAGAACTGCCCCAGGAAAACAGGACATAGACTAAGAAGTAACAACAGCAGCTGCCCACAGCCAGTATGAATTCTACAGAAAGCCTCGGGGTGGACTTCCACTTGGTGGGAGGTGAGAAGAGCAAGCGACCAAGTTGCAGCAATGCTGTGACCGCTGCTTCTGTGACCTCAAACATGGAAGAGTCCAGAAAACAGGAGTGTCCTCTTCAGTTCTTCTTGGAGTTGTTCCATGATGGAAGCAGGAGTCTTTGTTCGGCTGGGGGATGGTTCCACAGGTAAACCACTTGCCATGCTAGTGTGAGGGCTTGAATTTGGGTCCCCAGAACTACTAAGGCCATGTGTCTGCAGTCTCAGAGTTCCATAGTGAGGCAGAAGCCAGGAGAAGTCCCAGAAGCTTGCAGGCCAGCTAACATGGCATGAGCTGCTGAGGACAACAGTGACATCCTGTCCCAAATGAGGAGACTGAGGACTACACAGTCCTTTGACCTCCACAAAGGTGCCATGGCACATATGCACGTGTACACACACATGCATACATGCAGCTATTGCAACAGGGAGGGAACTTTCCGCTTACTTTATCTCTGAAGGTTTAATAATTGTGTCTTTGAGTGAACAGACAGTGGACAGATTAAGAGAACGCTGGGCAGTAGTGGCACATGCCTTTAATCCCAGCACTCAGTAGGCAGAGGCAGGTAGATCTCTGTGAGTTCGAGGCCAGGACAGGCTCCAAAGCTACAGAGAAACCCTGTCTCGAAAACCAGAGAGAGAGAGAGAGAGAGAGAGAGAGAGAGAGAGAGAGAGAGACAGAAAGAGGAACAATTTTATTATGTGCATGGGTGAACTACGGGAAAGGAAAGTGAATACCTCTCAGCCTATGTATGATATCTGGAAACTTGCAGGACCCAGAGCTACAGAAAGCAACACAGGACCTCCCTGAGACAGCTATCATTACTTGAGAGCTTTTGTTCACCTCTATTTTCCCCCTTCTCCCTCTCACAGCTTGCTATCAACACATCCTCAAGAAGGCTCCATGCTTACTTTAACCTGGTTCTACTCATCTGCATTTTGCCTTGGGGCTGTTTACCTTCTGCTCCCTACGTCCTACTTTCCCTACTGTGTCTCTCTGTCTCTGTTTTTCTTTCTCCCCACCACCAGCCTTAATTACTCCTCCTACTTACTCTCCCTGTCTGGAAGTCCTGCCTATATCTCCTCCCTTGCTATTGGCTGTTCAGCTTTTTAGTAGACCAATCAGGTGCCTTAGACAGGCAAGGTAAAATAACAACACACCATTACATGATTAAACAAATGCAACACACCTTTACACAGTTACACAGATGCAACACACCTTTACACAGTTACACAGATGCAACACACCTTTACATAGTTAAACAAATGTATAATTAAACAAATGCAACACAACCAAATCCCAACAAAATGGGACTGCCAGTGAAGTGTCCTTTCAGTTCTTAGGACTGCAGTTTAATTAAGGCGTCCTCAGCTGATGCTGACACTGAGAGTCAAGAGGAAAATGAGGAAGTTCTTACATGCCTGGCGAGTCTCCAAAAGAATTCCTACCTTGCCGAAAGGCTCAACACCCACACTCAAACATTTACCTCATTTATTTATTTATTTTAAAAACTTTAACTTTATTTCATGCACATTGGTATAATGATGTCAGATTCTCTTCAACTTAATTTACAGACAGCTGTGAGCTGTCATGTGGGTGCTGGGAATTGAACCCCGGGTCCTCTGGAGGACAGTCAGTGCTCTTAATCACTGAGCCATCTCACCAGCTCCCATTTACCTCATTTAATCTTCTTTTCTAAGCCAGTTTTTATTTTGTATGACCCTTTTGACTGCACACATTTTGTACACCATATGTGTGCTTGGTGCCTGCAGAGGTCAGAAGAGGGTACCGGGCCGTGTAACTGGAGTCTTGGATGTTTGTGAATCATTTTGTGGGTGCTGGGTGCTGAACCTGTGTCCTCTACAGAGCAACAGGTGCTCTCGACCAGTAGGTCATCTCTTCCAGGACCCTTTCCCTCACTTGAAGTCTCCTGGCTTGTTCACACCCCTGTTCTGCTGCCACCTAGGTAACGCTGCAACACCCCCAGATTATCACAATTACAACAAAGGTTTTGTTCTCACTCCTGATTCAGTTCTACTCCAAATGGTTGTGCTAAAGAGCTCCTGAATGTAAAATACAAATCCTGGTTAGGCCTGGTGGCACACAACCTTTAATCCCAGCACTTGGGAGGCAGAGGCAGGTAGATCTCTAAGTTCAAAGTCAGCCTACACAGTGAGTTCTAGGACAGTCAAGGCTTTGTAGACAAGAGAGACCCTATTTTTTTTTTTTAAGTTCTGGTGTCACGGGGAAAGAGCAACAACACAGCTGTGAGGGGCACTTTCGCCCATGTTTTAATGGTCAAAGCAACTCATGTGGTCAATTATGAAACAAGGCTGTGAGGAGCATCCCTTTGAAGGGGCATTAAACAGGCCCGTGGCAGGCTGAGCAGTTAAGTATGTACCCTCTCACGTGCTCATTTTTTTTCAAGGATTAAAATTTTATTTTTTTCAGATATTCAGAGGGCCACTGGTTGTTTAGGCTTGATAAAATGTAAGCTCTCTTTAATGTCTACACTACTATGTAAGTTGTATTTTCTCCTAAGTGTATGTGTGCCCTTTCTGAGTAAGTCGGTAATAATTACAACACTGGGAGCTAAGAAGGGGGCAAAAAGGATACCTTAAGTAAATGTACTGTTGCAAATGCTCTTATCAGCAGAGTGCTGGAGAGTTTAGGGAAGTTTTAAAGTCATATACATATGTATACAATCATCCACCAGCCCCTCCCCCGTACCGTGTCTGTACATATTTTTCAGTGCGAAGGAGAACAGGTAGACAGAATGGCTAGCCAGATTCCAGGAGTCTGGAGAGTTAAATCCATTTAAAAATGTGAATTTTTTCTGGCCTCAAAACACACTTTTTCTTGTGCTTAGTGCTGGGTTCCCAAAGGGAAGAAATGGGAAAGAAAATTTCAAGGAAGGGATTTCTTTTAATAACTGTGCATATTGATGGGGTACAGTGTAAATAAAATATTCATGAAAGTATTCACTGTTTAAGTCGGAGTAATTAACACTTCTAGAAGAAAAAACTGAGATTTAAAAATAAGGAAAGGAAAAAGGGAAGCTGAGAGTCTGAGACAGCAAAGATCCACGGAGCAAGTAAGAACAAAGGACCTACTAAGAGAAAAATGTTGAGGAAGGAATGACCCAAACAGAAAATTTTGTAACTCGAGGGAAGGGATTTTCCTGGCTTATGCTGGGAATGCGGAGGTCAGGCACGCCGCCTGCCGGCTGGCCGAGGCCAGGCACGCGGAGACCCATGGGTGGTGAGGTCGGGAACCGAGCGGCTGGGTGTCTGGGGCGACTCGAGCGCCCGAATCAGCTGCACATGGTCCGGCTCAAAACTCTGGCGGGCGCCGCGCGGCCGCTGCCCACTCCACCGCGCTGTGTGGTCAAGAGATGCTCGCAGCGTCTCTCCCACCTCTGGTCACAAAACCAACAATGACTTCGCTTCGTACTCTACTTTGGGGGAACCAACTTTACCAACTAACTGCCCACTTTAAAATAAGATCGGCACAAGAGCAGCCGGTGCAAGGCAGAGGCGTTTTTCCATCGCAGGGCACCCAACGCCCCTGCGCAATCGCCCTCTCTTCCCGGCGCCCCAGACCATGCGGCCCTATGTAGCTAGGAACGACATAATCCCGGTCCACCAAGTGCAGCACTATTAAAGGAACGGACCGGAAATCCGAGCCTCCCTTCCCTGAAGTAACTTCCTCCCGCTTATCTGCCCTTTATAGGCGGAGCTTTGCGCTGCGGGGGAAGGCTAGTGCGCTTGCGCGGCCCGGGAGCCCGGTGAGTTTCAGCACTGAGAGGCCGCGGGGTGTCCTTCCTCCCTCCAAGGTCCCGAAGGTCCCGAAGGTCCGGGTGGAGCGCCCTGCGGAGTCCCGCTCCCACTCGCGGCGGGTCCCGGGACTCTGTAGTGGGCATGAGCGAGGCGCGTCTGTGGCCCCGAGGTGGCAGGCGGGACTGGGGTCCCCCAGCCAGTGTCGACACCAGCCTTCATAGTGACTACTCTATTCTGCCCTAGCCAGCCAGGATCAAAAGCCAGGGCTAACCGTTAAGATTCAACCTACATATTTGGCTCCATTGTCCCAGCTGAACTTGGGGATGTAGACGGGAAGACCAAAATAAATAGAAAAAAATACGGGAGCCGGGAGCTGTTGTTCTGTCGTGTTGGGACAGGGCAGGTGCCCAGGGCTGTCACTGTCTAACTTCCTTCACCTTTATGCAGTTCCAAGCTCACGTAGGAGTAGCAGGAGCGCATAGGCGAGGTCTAGGTGTTTCCCCCAGAGGTGTCAGTTGCCACAAACTCGGAGCCAAATTTCATTTCTCATAAGACTCTGAGGAAAAGTTGTTGAAGAAATTGCATACACCTCAGCCTGTTTCTTACTTTGAACTTGTAGAATAGCTTCAACAAACTTTCTGAAGTTACTTAAGTCACTCAGGATTCTTCTTGCATGACAGGTCTCAGCAAAGAGCTGGACTCAGGAGAAATGGCCCTGGTACCCTATGAGGAGAGTGCAGAGATAGGGCTCCAGAAGTTCCACAAGCCTCTTGCCACCTTCTCTTTTGCAAACCACACCATCCAGATCCGTCAGGACTGGAGGCAACTGGGAGTCGCAGCAGTGGTTTGGGATGCGGTAAGTCAGTTCTGTAGGGCCTCTGGAAACGTCCACGAGCTAAGACTAGACTATAATTTTAAAAAGGAAGTTGATTGTTTTATTGAGATATAGTTCACATATGTTCTCCAATGTGAAGTATGTAAAAGCCCTGGGTTGTTCAGTATGTTCATGGCAGTGCACTGTTACTTCCCAGTTTACAAGTTTTCGTCATCCCTGCGTCCCCTTACATACATTACATTTTGAAAGCCGAGGGAAGTGGAATGACTGACCAGTGAGTGCCCCCAGAGTATCAACAGACTGGAAGGAGAACAGGAGCCTGTTTGCCCTGGTCACTCATTAAGTTAGTTTCTGAAATACCACATAAAGAACGTGTAGAGACATCGCCCAAAATTAACATCATGTCTTGAGTTTTTCATAGTTTGAAAAGATTCTGGCTTTTCTGCTTCTGATAGCTCTGTCTTCAGCTGTTAAATAAAAGGCCCGTGTGAAGACATTTGCGTTATACTTCTAGTATCTAACTGTGGGCTATGACACAGTAAAACAATAAGCTTTTTAGATCTAGCCGCCCCCTGACTGGCATAGCTTTGGACACACTGCTCCTGTGTTTGCTCTAATAGGTTGTCTTACAGCAGCAGGAAAGTTCCTGTGTGTGTGTGTGTGGTGTAATTGTGCTGACTTTGCAGGCAGGCAGGGAGGGAGGGAGAGAGGAGAGGAGGAGAGAGAGATGTTAGGTTATTGTTTCTTCCTGCCGGCTTTTGGCATCTTGAAGACACTTGCTGACCTTAACCATAATCCCCCTGTGTTTCCACTCAGGCCATTGTGCTTTCCGCGTATCTGGAGATGGGTGCTGTGGAGCTCAGGGGCTGCTCTGCCGTGGAGCTTGGTGCCGGCACAGGGCTGGTGGGCATAGTGGCTGCCCTGCTAGGTGAGTCCAGTGGGCTCGCTCCCTCCTTAGTGAGCGGAACTCATGGGAAGGTCCACTTGTTTCCGTAGAGGAAAGCACATGGTTGGGATTCCCCCTTCCTGAGCTAACCTCTTTTTCCCATGCTTATGAGTTGTGGGCCGCCTGCTGCTGTTCTCAGCGCTGGGGCTGACAGCAATTTCTTCTCTTTCTCTCATCCTCTTACTCACACGAATACTGAGGGATCACCTTGCTGTCTTTGATCTTATGATGCCGAGGTAGAATTGTGTACAGTTTCTTTGTCTTAAAGTGCTAAACCCATAGACTCCAGACTTAATCCCCCACTGTTGAGAAAACGGCTGGTTTTTCCCTTCTAGGGTTGATGGGTCCTCAATTGTACACTGTCATCTTAAGAAACTATATTAATGGTCTGTAATTATATTAATGGTCTGTAATTAGTTGATGCCTACCTATCAATCTATCAGCCTTCATCTGATATAGGCTTTAGTTTTTTCTTTCTTTCTTTCTTTCTTTCTTTCTTTCTTTCTTTCTTTTTTTTTTTTTTTTTTTTTTTGTTCAGAGATGGTGTCTTACAGTGTTGGCCAGGCTGGTTTTGAATTGTAAGCCTGCTGAGCAGCTGGGACTGCAGGTGTGTTACACCCCTGTACTGGGCTGCTTAGAGTGTTGTTTTCCCCTAGAACATGTTTAAGTCTCTTTGTTGCTTTCTCTTACTGTTGACTTCTTTCTACAACTTGTGACTCAGTGTTCGGGTTACCTGTCACGTGTTATCTGTCACACCAGCCACCCCAGTATTGTCACCCGTGGCTCCTTACAGTGTGGTCCTGATTCATAGCTCCAGAGGTGAACTTGAGAGCTTGCATTTGTAAGAAGCTCCCAGGCTAATACTCCCAACACTACTGGTTCTCAGAGGACACTGACAGGGGGTGTCTGGAATTGCAGAACATTGAATTATTGATACACTACGGTTATTTTAGGCTCAACCTAAGCCCCTCTTGTCCCACCCTTTTCTCTGATGACTCATTATTTTTCAGTATTCTTTTTTCTGTTTCTATAGTCTGTGTTGCTTTCTTTAATCTTGATTGGAGAGCAATGGCAGGGCTAGTGAATAAAAGTACACTTGGAGGCTAGGAATTGCTCGAGAGTTAAGAGCCCTGGCTGCTCTTTCAGAGGACCCGGGTTTAATTCCCAGCCCCCACATGACTGCTCACAAAAAAAAGCCTATAACTTCAGTGTCAAGGGATCCAGCACCCTCTTCTGTTTCTGTAGAAATTGTATGCAAGTGGTATACAGACATACACGCAGGCAGAACACCCATAAGTGTCAAATAAAAATCAAGGTTTAAAAAAAGTTTTTAAGGTGTATATTAATTGATTGTTTGGTCTGTCTACTAGCAAAAACCATAATGGTGTTTTTCTGTTGGCTTACTGACCATATATGAATCTATGATATTTTAATTATTGTTTGCAGCCCCACAACCAAGCAGTCAGCCCGCTTCCCCCGTGGGCTTTTGGCCCCACGATCCTGTAGGTATAAATTAAGTCTTTATCATTCTATTTACCAACAAAAATTCAGAAGTCAGACATGGGGGTGAAAACCTGCTAGATCAGAGAAGCTTAGAAGCAACCAGGTGACTTTGGTTTTTGACCAGAGACACTGAAAGAGATACCGCTCCAATTTCTGGTTTTTCTCTGACCAGTTCCAGTCAGCTAGTTTCTAGCTCCATGTCCCTGATTCAAGGGAAACTTTATTGACAATCTGGAGTGTCACAGTAAGATATTCAGCAACACCATAAGTCATTGGTAAGACTCTTGTTGGCCCCACATCTTTTATTATCCTTAGAGGACCGTTATATCATTGCCTTTATGTCATATATTACTTTTAACTTTTTTTTTCAAATGATACCAGTGTTTTGAGGTAGTAAACCACTGTCAGGGTCCTTATCAGCAGAAATCTGAGACTCAAAAACCAATGTCAAGACCCAGCAGCTCAGATTAAGGTTCTTTGTAGGCTTCCCCACGAGCTTCCCCAACACAGGCAAAGTTTGTTGGCTGGTGTCGAGACATGTTAGTACATACGCATATAGTTGTCATTAAAATTAATTTTGACACCACGTTTGTTTCTGCTGTTTGATCCTGAGCACGGTGTTTAACCTCTAACAATGACTTCTCTGTAAAATGGGGACAGTGATAGTATTTGCTCCCCAGTGAGGCTCAAGATGGGCTGGTTACCAGCACACATAGTTACCATAGCTAGCTAGATTAGCTCATTAGCTGACAAAGGATGTGCTGTGGGGTATGTGTGTGGGTGTATGCGCATTCACGTGTGTGCATATGCTCATGCACGCATGCTGCTATTCTTAGTGCTGCTTTTCCTAATGAGAAGTCTAGACGTGTGGGGTTGAAGAAGTCAGGATAAGGTTCTTCAAACACTGAGAATGAAGGATAACAATCACTTCATGTGTCTGTCTCAGATTGAGGCTCTTGAGAAATGAAACCATGACTTATTCTGTGTCCTTGACCCTTGAACAGTACCAGCCACTCAGACACTGGATACTTGGATAGTTTGGGAATAAGTCATGAAGGAACTTGGGGCCAGAGAGATGCTAGGCAGTGAAGAGCGTGTTGTATGACCTACTGCTCTTGTACAGGACCTGAGTTCGGTCCCCAGCACCCACATCAGGTGTTTCACAATTAATTGGAACTCCAGCTCCAGGGGATCCAACCCCCCTTCTGAACTCTGTGGGCATTTGCCCTCACAAATGCACACACATATGTACACATAGCTTAAAATTTAAAAATCAAACAAACATGAATCAACTAGATTGATGACTTTTAGAAATCATGAAAATTAATAAGACTCTATTACAAAATATTTATCATTGCAGCAGAATTCCTATTTGCATTTTTATGTATTTCCTTTCATTCTCTTTTCTCCATCTGTATTTTACATAATCACAGTTGTCATGATCTTCTGTCTGTGCGTCTGTACATGTCTATACGTGTGTGTCTGTGTTTCTAATCCCTCTCGTAAGCATTTGTGTTGTTGCATGATTTTCATATTCACTATAAAGTATTAGATTGGAGAAATTTTAAGGTTAAAAACTGAGAGTAAGAGAAAAGTTTTGACAATAGAAACGATTAAAACATGTAGTGACTGGAACATTTGGAAAGGGATTGGCTGTTCTCCTTTTCAGGTTCATGTTTGGCACTCAGTCGTTTATCCCTGAGTCCACGGATTCCCTACCCAGTGTCTCCTGGGTCTGTGAGGAACACCCAGGGACCAGGCAGGCAGATCCACATCTTAGGAAGCTACGTACAGTTTAAATCCAGGGGGAAGGACTAGGTGAAGACAGATTGCACAAGAAGTAGATGCCGTTATGCAGAATGTTAGTGTTGGGTGTGCGGCTTCCTCAGTAAGAAGAACAGTTCCTGTGTGTGGAAGTAGACTCAGTCATGGGTTTTCCTCCAGTGTTGACACTTGAGGTGTTAGAGAGTAAATAACTTGCCCAAGGCTATAAAGCTATGGATTGTGGTGAGAATTTGAATCTAGTTCTGACTTTCAAACTGGAGTTTTTGTTAGAAAATCCTAAGTCTTTATGCTACTTGGGAACTCTTTATCCATGGGGTTGCGGTGGGGAGATCCCATTTTGAAGAGAGGATTCTCTATGTTGGGATACGTTAGAGAATTTTCACTTAAAAAATGTTCTGTGTAATTTGATGCCCAGTTAAGCCTGGAGACCCTTGTCTTGAAATACAGAGCTCAGGAAGATACTGTCTGGTGACTGCTGCCATCCCATCACCACTCTGCTGAGCCTTGGACCTGTGGTCCTGAAAACTCCCATCATACCCTGGCTCGTTCCTACCAGCATTTCTTCTCTTTCTTCCCTTGTTCTGAGTTAGCATCATTATCCAGGGAGTCACCCAGAGTTGAGGGTCAGGCTGAAAGATCAGTCTCATTTTTCTAACAGCCTGCATGACAAGTAGGCCTGATGGACTCACTGTTCTCTATGTGGTATGAAGAAAGGGACCATAGTTGATGGGTTGTGGTTTCAAATTCAGCAGCCCTGACTCTGTGGAGTCTGTCTTAAGTATTTCTCTAATGCTGACCTGAGCTCTCAGCATCTGCCCCCTCGTGACTATGGCCTCCTCTCTTTCTCAGACTCACTTCCTGGAGCAGCTGCCAGATCCTTATGTAAAATGTGCAATAACTGATGGTATGGTCTGTGTTTAAACATCCCGTGCCTCTCTGTTGCTGCAGACCACACCCCAGACTTGTTGGCAGGGCTGGTTATCTCCTGCTGTGCAGCCAGCTCCTCAGCGTCTTTGATGCTTTGAGAAGTCCCCAGGACCCACGCTGCTTAAGCCCGGTGCCTATTGCCCTGTGGCCATTCTCCTTCCCCATCTCATGGCCTTATCTTCCTCGTAAGTTCAGGTTTCCCTGCCTTTGGTCTCTTCCTCTCTTGAGGAATTTCTTTCTAACGTGTGGTTCTTGGCGCAGAGCACATCCCTGCTGCTCTGCCTCCCACTGTAGCATGGCTTTCTCCTTCTTGTGAGACTTTGCTCCAGGTAAGGATTTTCTTGCTCAGCTTTATGTTTCTAGCACATGGTTATGTCTGAATGTTTAATCAGTGGAGCAGTGCTTATAACAGGAAAACTAAGGCCAGCAGTGGTGGCACACATCTTTGGTCTCAGGACTCGATGAGGCAAAGGCAGGCAGATCTCTGAGTTCAAGGCCAGCTCGGTCTACAGAGTGAGTTCCAGGGCAGTCAGGGCTACACAGAGAAACTTCCTCAAAAAACCAAAACCAGCTCACAAAACGAAAAGAACAAAACAGAAACTAAAAGTGATGACAAAGGTGTCCATATTGTTTTTCCATTCTTGAGTGACAGCCCAGTTTTTACTAGGTCCACTTCCTTTTCCCTTATCATTTATGAACAATATTAACGTGCTTTTCTACTTGTAGTATTTATCGTACAGGAAGCCACTTGATACCTTCATGTTTGGTCCAATATCATGCCCTTTCTTACCTTATCTTACTCACCAGGCTGTAACCACCCTCAGTAAATGCAGGTTTTCCTACCAGGCCTGTGCTGGCTCAGCCGAGTATGGCTGGAGTGAGCACTCTGCTGGCTGCCAGTAGGCTCTTAGATATTTGTAGAACTGGTAGGTGTAAAGGGTAATGTTTGGGTGACATTAAGAGACTATGCCAGCTCTGGAAGACCTAGTAAGTTAGTAGTACCTAGTAGGGAGAGCTCTGTCTCCAGGATAGGCATTAGAGAAATTCTCAGAGTGTGTACCAAGGGGAAGCTTCAATGATTATGATCACTCAGGGATTGCCAGCAGTAGCACTCTGTATCCTGCCCAGAAACACACAAATAAAAGTAATGATTCAAACCGGGAAGGCTGCCTGCAGTTTTCATTCTCAGAGAACAGTCATTGAATTCTGCTTATTGGGCAACACAATGTGCCAGTGAGTCATTGGTGTAGTGGGTCCAGGCTTGCAGAGTCCGACAGCTTGAGCATTTTTATCGGTATCACCATCTAGAGCTGTAAACCTCAGGTTTAATTACATGCTGCGTTAGTGTTTTATAAGATAAGAAACACCTGGTGGAAGTTGCCACCGGAAAGGTGCTGTGATCCTTTGGGAGATTAGAAAAAAAATATACAAAGGAAAGATACTATTATGAAGGAATTAAACAATTTTAAATTTCAAACTTTTTGATGTCAAACCTTTTTAGATGAGTTGTAATGAGACTAACTTTCTATGGTTGTAATGGAGCTAACCTGCTATGGTTGTAATGAGATTAACCTCCTATGGCTGTAATGAGACTAACCTACTGTGGTTGGCTGTGGTTCAGTTTTCTCTTACCCACATTGATTAAAAAAATAGATGTTGCAGTTGACTGTCAGTAACACATAAAGACAGATGAGTGAGCTACTGTGCCGTCGATTTCCTCATTTGCGTGTGGAATAGCACTTGGAGAATATGAGCTAGCCTTTTAGCATGTTTCCCAGTACAAACTAAATCTGTACACTAATGCAGAGGACAGGTTTCCAGTAGTTATATATGTATCACATAAACAGCCTAGCTACTTCAGAAGAGCATGAATGTAGCCTGCACATTCTCAGTAGTTGTCTCTTGTAATCTGTTTTAATGTTGGTTCCTCTAACGCAGACTTTTGGTTTGTATCTTCTGATATTGATAGTCATACTTTGCTTATCAGTTTTTCATTCTTGGATTTTGTTTTATGCTGAGCATTACTGACTGTTGAATCGAGCTGAGTGGTGGATACTCATGGCGGTTGGGCCAGCTGTCCGTGGAGAATTCCGGAGCATCCGCGTGTCACTCTGTGACTCTCTGGTTCGCTAAACCACATTGGCAGTCAGTAGGTGTGCCACAGAAGCAAGCTGAAGGTTTGCGTTTTTACACAGTAGAAGTTCTGTTTTGGTCTGGTTATCTGCCTATGGAAGGTTGTGGTATTCTCTATATCTGTGACTTTTAGATAATGTATTAACTGAAGCAGACCCTCTCTGCCCACTACGGATGTATGATATTCACCTTATTTTCTATTGTCCACATTGTAGGTGCTCATGTGACTATCACGGATCGACAAGTAGCATTAGAATTTCTCAAGTCAAATGTTGAAGCCAACTTACCTCCCCATATCCAGCCCAAAGTTGTTGTTAAGGAACTGACTTGGGGACAAAATTTGGGAAGTTTTTCGCCTGGAGAATTTGATCTCATACTTGGAGCTGATGTCATATACCTAGAAGATACCTTCACAGATCTTCTTCAGACCCTGGGATACCTTTGTAGCAACCACTCTGTGATTCTTTTAGCTTGCCGAATTCGCTATGAACGGGATAATAACTTCTTAACGATGCTGGAGAGGCAGTTTACTGTGAGTAAGGTTCACTACGATCCTGAGAAGGATGTCCATATTTACAGAGCACAAAAGAGAAACCAGAGGGAGGACTTGTAGTGGGCATTATTTCCTAAGAATTGAATGTGTCAGTTAAGGTCTTAGAACTAGAACTCCCGTGTTAATGTGATGCAGACCAAAGGATCACAGCACAAATTCATTCCTTGTCACGTTGCCACAGCTGTGTGTCACGATTGCTCACTGCTGAGCAGTGAATGCACATGTGAGGTTTGGCTGGCGTTCTTTCCTTAGCCAGTGTGCCCACTTGGTAAGCATTTTCCACAAACGATCTGAAAAGAATGGTGCAAAGGTGTCTTTAAATTGGTGAGAGTCAGCAGTACATTCTGGGCTTGTCTCGGTTTTCTCATCTGCTAAGTGTAAACGGAGTATACTGCATATATTCCTGAAGTGTTTGTGTTGTTGAAGTCTCCTACTCTTCTTATGAGATGAGGCCTTATTCTAGACCAGGCTGACCTCAGTGATTCTCCAGCCTCTGTCTCTGAGTGCTGGGATACAGGTGTGTGCCACGGCACCCGGATTACCATTTAATTCTTAGGCACCTTGAGATGAGGATGAGTTCTGTCAGCAGATTGTAGGGGTGAGTATGTAAGCAAAGGAATAAACATTTTTGCACTTAAAATTACATAAAACTGTGGCCTGAAATTTTCCTCCACAACGATGGTTTGTTGTTTCAGCTTTGCTGTTTCTTGCTGTGGTTGTCTCTGTTTCTTAGGTGTTTCCCCCATCTTTTATGTGTCAGTTCTGAAAAGTTAACTCATTTCCGAAGGTTAGCTCCCAAGTACAAACCTCTGCTGTGCCTGTAATGGCTCCTTGGCTCTCGGACCCCTGTGGGCTGCAAGCTGCTGGAGGCCTCTTTGACTTCCCTTCCCTTTACCCAGGAAGAAGCACATAACAGGTGATCAGGGTGAATTCCATTAGAGGCCCCTGAGGTTTTGTGGTGCCAGGGAGCAAACCCAGGTCGTGCACACACTGAGCAAACACTCACCCCAAGTTACTACATCCCTAGCCAGAGGTTACTAATTTTTGAGTTTTCTCTGGGTAGACTTTATGAATAAAGTTATCAAAACAAGCTTTTCTTTTACATTTAACTAAAAATTTAAGCAGTTTAGACATGACATTTAGTAATAGAAATGTGTTGGATTTGTTGTGCACACTATTCAAGGCTTCATTTTCCTTTAATAAATATTTTGGATATGAAAATACCTTACATTGTCTTCTATATCCTTTAAAAATGGTAGTTGTGTTAGTCAGGGTCCTCTCTAGAACAGAACGGGGGAGGGAAAGGTACGGAAGGAGGGAGGGAGAGAGGAGAGGATATTAGAGTGGCTTATGGGCTGTGCGGTCCACCTAGTGCAACAGTAGCTATCTACTAATGGAAAGTCCAAGAATCCACTAGTTGTTCAGTGCACAAGACTGGATGTCTCATCTGGTCTTCAGTACATGCCAGAATCCCAAAGCAGGAGGCTCTAATGAGTGAGGGAATGAACTTGCCGGTGAGATTGAGGGCAAGCAGGCAGAGAGGGCTGCCTTCTTCCGTAGGCCGTCACCAGAAGCTGTGGTGCAGAATAGGTGGCTCTTCCCACCTCAAAACATCTGTATTTAGGATGAGTCTTCTCACATCAAATGATTTAATTAAGAAAAATCCCTCACAGCTATACCCAGCCCCTTTGGTTTTAGTTAATTTTAGGTACAGTTAAAAGTTTTATTTTACTAAAAGCTATGGGCATTTGATGATGTCCTGTTTCAACAGTTCTGACAAATGACATGAAATGGGAACACCCATAGCCATGACATCGAAGCTCTCTGAAACAAAATGAGAACCTGACAGTGTCACCACCATGACAATGAAAACCCAGTGCTGCTGCAATCCTTTAAGATCGCAGACTTTGGGGAGAGATAGTGAAGTGAGGTGGGACAGGCTGGGGAGCTGAGACACCTGCTGCTCTACCAACTCCGCCAAGCGGTTCGCAGGCTTCATGGTGTGTTTTCATAAAATCTAGGGGTCAGAAAAGGTTCAAAGTACTGTGTTGTGTGATTTTTTATTCTTTTGGTTTTGGGGGGCTCACCACTCCGCTTCCAAATGAATCATTCCTGGAAGCTTATTCTTAGTTATGAACACTTGACCTTAGCTGCCTTGTTTCTAGCCATCCTTCCTTAAATTAGCTGACTGCCTTGTCCTCTGGGCTTTTCTCTCTCTTACATTTGTATGTCTTACTCCATGATTGATTGGGTAGCTGGTCTCTCTTTCTAGTTCTTCTATTCGTACTCTCTGCCTGCCAGCCCCACCTATTCCTGCTCCTGCCTTGCTATTGGCCGTTCATCTCTTTATTAGGCCCATCAGGTGTTTTAGACAAGCACAGTAACACAGCTTCACAGAGTTAAACAAATGCAGCGTAAACAAAAGTCACACAGCTGAAAATATTCCCCAACAGTACTGCCATGCCTCCACTCCCTTTGTTCTACAAATAGAATGTGTGTGTGTGTGTGTGTGTGTGTGTGTGTGTGTGTGTGTGTGTGTAGAAAGAGAAAGAGATTGGTTATTATAAGTGAAAGTCAAGCTCTTTTATTGGTTTAGGTTTGGAATATTTTCCAAGTCAGATTCTGTGGAGGTACGGACACACATACACACACACCCATACGCACATGCACACACACGCATGCGCATGCCTTTAAATCTGTATGGTCTGGCCATTGGTTATAAGGGGCAAAACCTTGGGCTCAAGAAAATACCTGTAGAGAAGTAGAATTGTCATAAAATTTATCCTTTTACATAGATAGCAGAATTGTAATTTGTCCAAATAAATGGAATACTAGATTTTAAAAACTGGTGTTTTAATTATATGTGCCTGTGTACAGGTAGATGCATGCTAATGTGTAGAGGCTGGAGTTGGATCCCCTGGAGCTAGAATTAAGGTTATTGTGAGCTGCCTGGGTACTGGGAATTGAACTTGGTCCTCTGAAAGAGCAGCAAGTGCTCCTTACCCGAGCCACCTCTCCAGCCCTGAACACTAGATTCTTTGGGGGATAGAATCACGACTGTCACTACATTTAGACAGCCTAGCTATGTTGTGCAGGCTCACCAGGGACAGCTCTTCCTCCCACCTCCCCAGCAATAGGATTACAGATGTGTGCCATCACTCCCAGCTTGCCTGTGATATTCTCAGCAAATAAAATGTATACTGGAAATACAGCATACCACTAAATTTTAGGTGGTCATAAAGGCAGCTCGATAACACTGATCCACAAACAAAGAGACCATTGTGGATGATTTACCTAAATGTATCACTTCATTTCTGTTTTTTTTTTTCTCTCCTTCCCCAAGGTATGTTTCCAAGAAAGATTCTCAGGCTATTAAAATAACAAAACTTTCTCTTAATAATGAAACCATATGAATGTATATAAGATCTACCAATTAACTTAGAGGCGTGTTCTCACACTTGCACAAGCTGGGCAATCTAGGCAGTGTTCAGTTGTGTTCCAACATTAGGCCTGTGTGCTCAAAGGTCTTTAATGTTGTAAAATCATAAACACTTCTTAGTATAACCAGGAAAGGGTTAAGTTTAAAAATCCTGATATTTCTCAGCAGAGAAATAATGTCAACATGGGATGCTAATTACGAGGGTAGAAGGGAAAACAGACTTGGAAAAGTCCACCCACGCCATTACCTTGTTGAGAGTGGCTCTGCTATTCCAGTTTTTCTTCCAAAACCAACAAAGGAACACAGCTCAGTGGTAGTTCCTTGTCTAGCATGCATGCAAGAACCCAGGGTCAGTCCCCACATACTCGAAGATGAAGAATGTGGCAGAGCACTGACTAGTATGGAAAGGGTATGGGCCAAATTCCAGTGCCACAGAAACATGTTTAATGGGACAAGCTAGGCACAGTGCCATACACAGCACGTGAATATTGAAATACTCAGAATTGGTAAAGTCACAGGAAGCAGACTGTGGGTTGCCAGAGGCAGGAAGTAAAAAGGGAAGGTAACCATTTAGTGGGAGTAGGATTTTATCCAGGCGATGGGAATGTTTGTGAGCTACACAGAAACGGCAGCTGCCCAAGTGTGAGCGTGCTGCTACAGCTAAGTGATTCACTCTACAGGAGAGTTTTGTTACTTGTATCTCAACTAAAAGTAAAAATAATATTCATTCCTGGAAATGAGTCTGCCTCCTACTTGATGTTAGTCCTCATCTGATGGTGGCTTAAAACGTGGAGAAAACGCAGTATCTAATGGGCAAGATGGCACGGATGAAGACAGTCCTTTCCTGGGCTGGACAATCAATTTAATGGTCAGTGGCAGCATTTATGACATAAAAAATGTTTGAAGCGACAGATTTGGAGGAGAAATGAGAAGTTCCATGTTTGGGACCTGTGCTTTACAATGATTAACACATGAAGGTCTAGAATTCATTGCAGAGGAGAGGGCTGCCAACTGTACAAAGTTATTACAATTATATTCTTGGAGGAATGTTTTAAAATGTGAGAAAAAGGACTGTCACTTCAGTTTCTAGAAGTGTGCCCTCAAATGAATGTCAGGTACAGCCAACATCAAGACAAGCATTCCAAGTAATGTAATCACAGGACTGAAATGCTTGGCACAACTCTGGAATACACTTGTCTTCATAGCATTGATACATTGATACAGCATTCTGTCTCTCACTTTCTCGTGCTTTAAGAAAGGGGCTCACTATGTAGTTCTGACTGCCCTGGAACTCACTATGTAGATCAGGTCTGCTTCTGCCTCCCAACTGCTGGGATTAAAGGTGTGCACCCCCACACTAGGTTCCATCATTTCACTTTTGAAATCTGAGCAGTTTAGTAAGTGTGGTTCTGTAGAAGGGGAAACAGAACTCCAAGTGACTCAAGCTTTAGGACCGCATTTAATGATCAGGAAACATGACACAATTTAGGACTAAAATGTAACTTTTTACAAGTTTCAGAATTTACTGTGGAATACTACAGGGATCTTTTATTCTTAGTTCTTTGGTAATGGTAGCCACACCCACCCCAGAACTCCCTTGTTCATACCCTTCCCCCCAGGACCTCATTGGAGATAGTCCAATCTAGCCTTTGGTTCTGCCTCCCGTGTTCCTGAGCCTGGAATTACAAGAGCATGCTGCTGTACCCTCTGTTGCAGTTAAAATAAATAAAGAATAAAGGTGGTCTGCAAAGTTCGCTACTGTTTGCTACTGCATACATTTCCTGACCGTAAGCTGCCTTGCCTGCCTCGATTAGCTACTCCAGGACAGCAGCACTCACAAATCAACAGGTCTCTGCTCCACATTACTGAAAAAAAAATGTGTTAACAAGCAAGGAGTTCAACAGAATTGACTCTAGGTGTGTTGTGTGAATTACAGTGCTCTCCTGCTAAGCACTGCAAGCTTGTGATATATTCAATGAGATCTTTGTTCATTTGATAAAATTAATAAACTCAAGTCAAAGAAAACAGGTAAACACGCACTAGCTGGGAGAGAGAGGGAGAGAGAGAGAGAGAGAGAGAGAGAGAGAGAGAGAGAGAGAGAGAG